GGGGGGTGCAGGTGGATTTTACAGTAGTTTTTGTCAAATCAACCAAAAAGTAACCTCGAGGTTGTCACTGACTGTCTCTTAACAACCACTGACAAATTTATACCCTCTCATTCTGGAGTGTGGTCTTTTTTTCAGCTTATTCAAGTCACTCTTCATTTATGTCCTGGAATTCTGTTGTTTTTGACACGTAAATTCTGTTTTCTTACAATGCTCCCTACAAGTCTTTTGTTGCTTCCTTGGATGGGCTGTGTTCTTTGTTCCCACTGGCTCTTCTGTGACAAAGGACCAGTTTTGTCTTTTCCACTTTTGTCATTAGGTTGGTATTGCAATTGTCTGTGAATCACCTTAATCCAGTGCTTTTGGCCAGGCACCTGGTGGATTGATCCTGTGGGATGGCAGCTGTCAATCCGTGGGCCTCCTGGGGTAAGTCCCAATTCTGTGTCTTCCGGGCCTCCTCAGTGGTGAACCTGCTGCAGCCAGGGGTCAGAGCTATGGAGGGACTGAGAGTTTTGGGGGATTGGAGGGAGTCTCACTGTCTTGGTATAGAATTAGAACTGAGTGAGATTAAAAAAAAAAAGACAACTTGGTTGTTGGTGAAAAAGGGAAGTGGTTAGTGTAAAAGACAGTGTTATTTTGTATATCTATAGTCTTAAGATGTGTTAGTGGTTCTAAGAGATTTTCTACTGATTTGTGGGATTGCTTAGAAGACAGATATACATACAGTCAGAATTTCTCTATCATTGCCATATTTTTTATCTTTAGTGTTGTTTCTCATTTATGTAGCAGTGGCATGTAATTTAAGAACAATGTTAAATAGCGTGGTGTCAGTGATGTGTTATCTTTAAGTGAGGTTTCATGTATTTATCACTAAAGACATCAAGGGAGTATCTTACTACTTAGATTATTATTTTTATTTTATATATTTTTTAATTAATTATTTTTTCATGTTTATTCATTTTTGAGAGAGAGAGACACACACACAGTGCCAGCGGGGAAGGGGCAGAGAGAGAGGGAGACACAGAATCCAAAGCAGGCTCCAGGCTCTGAGGTGTCAGCTCAGAGCCGGATGCAGGGCTCCAACCCACTAATGGTGAGATCATGACCTGAGTGGTCAGATGCTTAACTGACTGAGCCACCCAGGCGCCCCTCTACTTAGATTATTTTTAAAATTGGGTAACCTTAAACATTTTATCAGATACCTCTTCAACCATTCAAGTGATTCTATTCTTCTATTATTATTATTATTTTTATTATTAAAAAAATTTTTTTTAACGTTTATTTTTGAGAGAGAGCATGAGCAGGGGAGGGGCAGAGAGAGAGGGAGACACAGAATCCTAAGCAGGCCCAGGCTCTGAGCCGTCACTACAGAGCCAAACGCAGGACTTGAACTCAAGAGCAGTGAGATCATGCCCTGAGCCAAAGTTGGACACTCAACCGACTGAGCCACCCTGATGCCGCCAAGTGATTCTATTCTTGATTCTTCTTGGCTATATCATGTCAGATTTTTGGGTAATGACTTACCTGTGTATTTCTAGTATAAATCTAGCTTGTTATGTTGGATTTTGTTACATGCCGTGGGCTCTGTTTATGGAACTTCGTTACACCGATTAGTGAGACAGATCTGCTTTTCTATTTTGTTGCCTTTAGTCACTGGGATTGTTGTCACAGTGGCTTTTCTTTACTTGTCCCAACCTGATCTGGTGCAGGTATCCTTACGGACCAGTCCTGGGGAATGGCGGCTGTTGACCCGTGGACCTCCTGGGGTGAGTCAAAAGCCTGTGTCCCCATTGGCCATGTTTGCTGCTGTGTCATGCTTCTTCCAGCAGTGACCTGCCGTGGCCAGGGATTGGAGCTGGGGAGCCAGGTGGGGATTTAGGGCAAGGGGGGTTCTGGTCCAGGTCTCTCTGTGCAGAGCGGGAACAGGGATGGATCAGAACATTCCATTGGGTGATAGAGTGATGGTGACACCTCCAGGAGAAGGGTGCATGAGAAGAAGTGTGTGGCCATTTACAGCTCGGGCCCAGAAAGGATGTGAACTGGTACTACTTCTCAGAGATGGTGCTTCTGAGCAAAGGGGGCCAGTGCAGGACTCATGTTTAGGAACATTACTTCTCTTCTCTGAGCCCCATTTCCTTCATCTATAAAATGAGGAGTCTCTTTCTTTGCCCAATGGACACGGCTAGGAACTAGCTCTCCCTCAGCGCACTCCCTGCCCCCGCCGTCACCCCGACCAGGAAGGACTCGTCGGCATACTTCCGGTGGGGAGAGCTGCCTCCGTGACTTTGTTTTCCTCCCCAGCTCTGTGTCCTCAGGACTCTGCCTGGCCTGTGGAAGAGAGCCCCAAGGAGGAGAGGAGGGTCACTGGGCTCCCGACAGCCCAGGTCCAGGTGAGTCAGGCATCTGCTTTTTCCTGAAGGGCTGTCCTGTACCCTGGGGTGTCCAGGTTGTCCCCCACCATCCTAGTCTTTGTGTTCTTAAGTTTATAGCAGCTAGACTTTGCCTAAAGAAAGAGTCGGCCAGAAGTTGATTGCTTTCAAAGCACCGACAGGGAGAATTCAAACAGTTTTCTGTGACTTGGAACCACATTATTGACCAACCTGTTCACAGAACTGAGCCCTGGCAATGCCGTGTGTTGTTTTGGTGGACGAGGGGCAGCCCCTTTGGCCGGCAGCAGCCCCCTTTTCTCCTCCCACCTTACCTCATGTATTCAGTGCCATATTGGGTTGATGCTGTCCTGTGAGCTCCGTGCTTGCTGGGCAGAGAACATGGATAAGTCCAAGCCCTGGTCCCGAGGAATTCTCAGTCCCCTTTCCCAAGGTGGTTCAGTCAGCTACTGAGGCCTCATGGCCTGCTGGTGCCACACCTGTGGTTCAGGACATGGGCCTGAGATGCTTAGGGAGGCCCCAAACCTTGGAGAGGCTGAGCCCAACTAAGGCCTCGAGAAGTGGGAGACAGTCTGCATAAAGTCACTGGGGCACAGAGCAGCTGGAGTCCTTCTGCTGTGGGGAGGGACGCTGCCCGGGAGACATGACGCACTTGGACCAAGAGGTTAAGGGGGCGGCAGGGGCCCGGCCTTTTGTGACCCTGCCCGTGTGTGTTGGGTGAGGGTGGGGGCACCGCATGACCGGCATCTGGGTGAAGGATGACCCTAGTTAGAATTGAGGATGCAGAGGCCAGGATGAACCTAACCAGGCCCTGAATGCCTACTGTGGAGCCAGGGCTCCATTCTGGTGGTAATAAAGAGCTTCCTAAGTGCAGTGAGCACTTAGGCCATTGTCTAAAATGTGGCTGGAAGGGTGTCCCTGGCAGGTATATGGGCAGAACGGGGTCGTGGGAAGTAGGCTGGCATTTCAGGGGTCAGTGTGACCAGGGCCTGGGAGCAAGACCTTAAGAGGTGTAAGGGAGTTGATGCAGGGTAACTTTGAGACTATTAGCATGTGAGGATGGGTCCTGAGAGGACTATGACAGGAGACATGATATGGAAGAGGTGGCAGGAAATAGGATAGCAGAGTTGATGATACTGGAAAGATGTCCACTCCTTTTTCTCCTGCCCAGCCTCTTCATTAGAGACACCCACTTAAGAAAAACCAATTGTTTTAATGACTTTATTAAAATATTCAAATACCATAAAAGCGTATAGTTCTGTGGGTTTTTGTATATTCACAGAATTATGCAACTATTACCAACCAGTATCTATTTCTGGTTCTGCTTCTAGAACATTTTTCATCCCCAAAAGAAATTCTATACGCATTAGCAGTCACTCCCTGTTCCTACCACCTTCGACCCCTGGCAACGACTCATGTACTTTCTTTATGTGTTTGTCTCTCCTGGACATTTCACATAAAGGGAATCATATGATATATGACCTTTTGCGTTTGGTTTCTATCACTTAGCATATTTTTAAGGATCATTTATGTTGCAGTACATATCAGTATTTTATTTATTTATATGATTCAGAGGCAGCCATTTTTAACTTACTGTTTTTGGTTCCTTAGGGTTGTCTCCATATTTCTAAATGAGATTTTCATCCTGATTCATGAAATTTACATTTACTATTGGCTCCCTACTATGAAAAATGAAGAAAAATAGTTTTGTTACCATATGTAGGTTTTATTTGCTAAGTTTAAATAATGGATCAAACAAATGTAAGGTACTGAGGTATAAAATTATTAATAACTTCTCTACGTAACTTAATGCCTCCCCCCCAAATTAAAAATATGTAATGAAATTTCCCATGGTTTCAAAGCTGACTGGTGAAGTGCATCGCAAGTATGCTGTCCTCACGTGGCAGCACGGCTGTCCCGGGGAGCAGAGGGCCTGAACCACGTGGTGCAGAGTGGTGGTTGTCTGGCATCAGAACTCGGGCAGCTTTGATGTTCATGACTGATATGTTATATAGTCATTTTTAGATTCTGTAAAAGAATTGGCAATGAGGCAAGGCTGAAAGATGGGCCCTGAATCAGTCGCTTGGGAACAAAAGTTAGTTGTAATAAAATGCTGTGAAGAAGTCTTAATAACCACTGGGCTGCACCCTGCTGTTAATTTATGTGAGGGTTCCTGAGAATTATTAGGGTTAATGCTGAGAAAATAAAATGGAGAATTAAAATAACAACACCCTCCAGTGTCTGAAGAGTTGTGATTTCTGAGAACATGCTCCTGGCCCCTCCCCACACTCACTTCAAATTTTTTCCTGTGGGAGATTCAAGACTTGAATCCTGTGAGTTTTGTACTAAGCGAGGTCTTCAGGAACACTAACGAGAGCCCCATGTCCCTACACTGTTCCCTCCAAGTTAAATACTGAAATAAAGCATTCATCTGGTGAAAACATCAAATGCTGTCATCCCTTGTTATCTGAATAGTCCATTTTGGAGAACATGTTGCGTAGCAAAGTTTCAACTAGTGGGAGCCCAGATCCCATTATTTTGAAGAATAGGGAAAATGATGATACCCCATTTAAAAAACTCCAGCCAGCCTCCTCAGATTTGGAAACTCTCCAACCTGTCTGTAACAATCCGCCGATGATTTGTGCACGATAAGTGTGCACAGAAATAACAGTAATACTCTGTACCCATCACTGGCTGGTCTGAGGATGTGCACGTAGTTGTTTTCCTTCTCTGCAAAAAACTTACCTGAAAATACTAATGAAATTCTGAAGTTGCCAAAGAACCCATCTGAATTTCCCCAGATTTCGTGAATGGGCCAGCTGTCCATGATATAATGCAGGAGCTGATTTTACATCTTCCCTCGGCACCCTTTCATCTTCTCTCAAACCTTCCCATGATGTAGATGTACGGCCGGGTTCTGTAAAGTGCCGTCGAGAGCCCTGGTAAGCGCTCATACGTATGAACAAAGTGAAATTGCAAGAATGACTACAGGAAATTTAGGTGGGACATTTGCGAGTCACCCTAGCAGATGTTTGTAAAGTGCAACCTCACGTAAGGGTAACCTGGGAATGGAACGGCTTGCTCCTTCCTGTGCTAGCTTCTAGGGTCCCTCTTCTCCACAGTGGTGAGACTGGGTGCCTGACCTCCATCTGCTCTTTCTGTTTCACTTCTAGTCTTGGTTTTGCATTTTCTTTTTTTTTTTTAATTTGTTTTTAATGTTTATTTATTTTTGAGACAATGGGAGAGACAGAGTGCAAGCAGTGGAGGGGCAGACAGGGAGACACAGAATCTGAAGCGGGCTCCAGGCTCTGAGCTGTCAGCCCAGAGCCCGACGTGGGGCTCGCGCTCACAAACCATGAGATCATGAATGACCTGAGCCGAAGTCGGACGCTTAACCAACTGAGCCATTCAGGTGCCCCTGGTTTTGCCTTTTCTGCCTCTTCAAGGCCTCCATGAAGTGTGGACCCCAACATGGGGACATACTCAGCTGGGCATCTTTTTTTCTTCCCCTTTGGCAGCGCGTTGAGTTCCTTCCCCTTTGATAACATCTACAAATGTGGAAATATTTCTTTTTACTTATTCAAAGTTTTATTTTGACAAATCCCATAAGTACAGAAAAGTATGGGAAGTAATCAAATATGGTCTCCATTACTCAGAATGAAGTTGTTAATGTTTTGTAATATTTGCTCAGTTTTCCCCAGTCACATTCTCTTCCCATGTTTACCCAGAATAACTGCTTAGGGTGTATACACAGCTAATCAATTGTCTTACTCCTATGTAGATAATAAGCTATTTATATAGACATCACATAGATAGTAGTCTAATTCTTTTTAAGTTTTTTTTTCCCTAAGTCATCTCTATACCCCAGTGTGGGGCTCAAACTCCCAACCCCGAGATCAAGAGTTGCATGCTTTTCCTACCCATAGCTTTTCTGTACCTTTCTTTGCTTATTAAGGTCAACTTTGAGATCCATCCATGTGATAAGTTCATTCCTTTTGCCCTCTGTTCATCCCTTTTATGGATGGGTGTAGAAGCCCCCCCCCCCTTTTTACTATTCCAGGAAAAGCTGTGTGGACTTTCTTGTAATATCATTTTGTGCATACATCTAAATGTTTATCTAGACATACCCCTCAAAGCAGAAGTATGCTGAGTTTTAGGGTGCACGTTTGCAGTATGACCAGCGCTGCCCCGTGGCTCTTGGAAAGGGCCTCCTCTCGTTCTCACCACCATGGAAGAGAGCCTGTCTCCCTGCATCTCTGCTGCTGAGTGGCAGTGTCGGGTCTTTTAATTTTTGCATAGCTCAAGACCAAAATGGTAGATTGTATGGTAGATTCAATGGTAGATTCCTTGATTGCTAGCAAGGTTGTGTATCTTTACATATTGTTCCTGGTCATCTGGATTTCTTCTCTCTCTGTCTCTCTCCCACTCCTACCTCTGTGTAGACTCTGACCTGTCGATACGTAGGCATTTTATATGCGTTCTGGATCCTGGTTCTTTGCCATGTATGAATTGTCTTCTCCCAGTCTGTAGCTTGTCTTAACTCTGTGGTGTTCTTTGTCAGTCCCATGTTTCCCGTATCTGTATTTGTTTATAGCTAGTGTTTTTGTTTCTTGTTTAAAGAATTCACATATTAAAAAAAAAAAATTCTGTTCCTTTAGGTTGTTTCTGAGGTCTTCTCTTACATGGTGGGCCTCCTGAAGCAATTGCTGTGTGTTCACATTTAATAAATTCTTGTTCTTTCAGAGCCCCTCTTGTGTCATCCTGTTTTATACTGAAATCCCTCCAATCAGAGAATTGGGATTGCAGTTCATTGAAAGTAGGATTGTAGATACTGCCACTATTCTGTGTACTTTTGGCTTCTGCGTTTGGTCTCCCCGCCTGTGCTGCACATGTTCCTTGCGTATCCAGGGCTCTAGTGGTCTCCTGTGCTTACCAGGGAAGAGCTGTGAGGCTGTGTTTGAGTGTTCTGCTTTCCTGTGGCTGAGCAGGTTTGGTTCCTGATTGGCCTTCCTGTGTGTGTGTCTGTCTGTCTGTCTCCCTCCCAACAAATCTCACTCTAAGCTCCATGGACCTGCTTGGGCCAGGATCCTTGGGTTGGTTGTGTTTCCGGGCATGCAGCTGGCTGTCAGGCCACAGACCTCCTACCCCACGTTGTTGAGGTTTCAACTCTGGGGTTGTTGGTCACCCGAGCAGCTGAAGAACCTCATGCACTCCTGTGTCTGAGCAGGGTCAAGGCAGTGTTACCCGAGTGTAAGTGCAGGGCATTTGGTGGTGGTGCTGCCCACAGGTGGCTGTTTGGGAGATAGCTAGCAAAGCTGTCCTGAGTATGGACTTGCCTTGTCACCTGTTTTCAGCCTGCCTCTCACTCCTGACTTAACAGTCGTTTAAACTCAGAGCCCCAAGCCTCTCCTGGGAACCTCTTCCACCGTAGCCCTTCTAATGTGTGGGGGCTGGGATTCCCTCTGCTTTGTTTTCTTGGTCTGCTGCTCTTTCATCTGTTCCCCATCTTGCAAGAACGTGTGGAACAACACGTGCCAATGGCCTCTTCTTTTCACTGGCTGGGATGTTTCTCTTTCTCAAACTTTATTTAGGAGATATTTAAACCCTAAAGTGGAATCTGGACCTTGTGTTAGTTCCTGTTAGCATTGTAACAAATTACTACAAACTTAATGTCTTAGAATAATATGAATTTACTGTCTTGTTCTAGAGCTCAGAAGTTTAAAATGGGTTTGTAGGCTCTTGGCAGTCAGCCAGTTCTGTGTTCTCATTGATACCACTTCTTTGACATATTGTTATGTCTTCTCTCTCCCCTTCAGATGTCAATAAATAGCAACATTGTTCAAAGACAAGAAAAAAAAAATGGGTCTGTAAGGCCGTGTTCCTTCTGGAGGCTACAGGGGAGAATCTGCTTCCTTGCTTTTCCCAGCTTCTGGAGGTTACCCTAATTTCTTGGCCTGTGGTCCCCACCCTCCATCTTCAGGATGCCTTGATCCAACATCATGTCTCCTTTTACTCAGACCCTTCTTCCTCCTTGTGATTACATTGAGCCCACCTAGATGATCCAAGATAATCTCCCCAAATCAATATCCTTAATGTAATCACATTTGTGCAGAGCCCCTTTAACATAATGGTTATAAGTTCTGGGATTTAGGATGTTGCCATGTCTTGGTGAGGGGTGTTATTACAAACACCCATGTTCAATAACTTCAACTGTCAGCTCTTAGCTTTGTGCCTTTTTCTCTATCCTGACACAAAAACTGGAATATTTTAAAGCAAATTTCAGATATTCTATCATTTTGCTTATCAACACTTCTGTGTAATTTCTAAGAGATAACATCCTTTTTAGAAAATAATAACTTTATCAATACCTTTTTCACACCCAACAAAATTAACGACAGTAAGTCCCTGTTATTAGTTAATACCTGGCAATGTTCAGTTTTTTCCAATTGTCCCCAAAATATGTTTTACATTTGGTTCAAATCAGGATCCAAACGAGGACCACACACTGTGTGCTTAATATGCTGAAGAACCAGGTCACTTTCTTGTTGGTTGCCTGATTTTGCCCTCTTGATGACATTGGGTGAGTTCCTCCATCCCTTTGCCTTCCATAAGCTGATAATTGGACTAGAGGGATGAGTAGATTCAGGTCCCATATTTTTGGTGAGAGTACACCATAGGAGGTGCTGGGTCCTTCCTACTCTGTTGCATTAGTGGGTACAGGACGTCTGATTGTCCCATTTTCGGAAGATGAGATGGATTAGTCAGGCTAACTATAGCCGCCCCTCCATTATTCTTCATGTTATTCAGACATGTTCAGTGTCCGCCTTCCATGTGTGATGTAGCAGTTCCTGATGATCATTGCCAATGTCGACTACTTGATTAAAGGTTGCAGAATCGCTCCCTGCAGTGTCTGTTAGATGCAGTTCTTTTATTCCTTAGGTGCGTATAGGGATTCCATTGGGGTCTTGGGAGGGGTGGGAGGTTAACTTGTGACTCAGTTCACCAGCTTAACAGCTGCTAGGGGGTGGGTTTGAAGCTTGTTAAGTGTAGCTGAACTGAAGCCATCAAGTAGATGCCACCCTCTGGAGGAGTTAGGTGGCATGAGGGAGCACACCAAGAGCACCCTGGTGAGAAAGCATGGCCTCCCAGCTGCGTGTGATTGGGTGTGATTGCTCTGTGAAAGTACACTGAGCTTATTATTTCAGCTCACTTGGGCTTTGTGCACTTCACTGTCTGAATGTTACACTTATAATAAAACGTTTATATTACTTACAAACAGAAGCATCACCCAGCAAGGAAACTGAGGCCCTAGGCAGATCTGTAGAAGAAAGCCAAAGTATTGGCTTGATGAGTCCAAGGTTAGGGATAGTTGCACTAGGAAGTTTTGCTCTGCAGTTTTAAGTGCTTTTCAGAGTAAGGGAATTACTGCAGCAGAATCAGTTCTGTGTTTTAAGCTAAGCATTATTTGGTGGAGGGGGAGCAGTTGGGATCGACAGAGTAAAAGTTGTTACATTGAAGACCAGCTATGAGGGTGAACGAGCTCAATTTGTGAGCCTTGACCAGCAGGGACAGAAAAGAAGGGCGTGAGAAAGGCTGTATGGGGGAAGCAGTAACATAGCGGGCCATGAAGGCGTGGGGAGAAGTTCACAGGAGGCTCAGTGTGGAAATTCGCTGACACAGAGGTGGACCAGAAAGCTGGTTTCCAGATGGAGGGGAGGACCTAGAAGCTATCAGGGCCTGTGGGAATTGTAGTATACCACCCCTGATGGACAGCTCACTCCACCACCACCACAAGGGAAAGCACGCTCCCACTCCACCCTGGAAGTACCCAGATGACTGAAGCTCACACTGAGTGCTTAAGAGCACTGTGAGCCGAGCGATGCGTTCATTGCAAAAGGTTATAATCATCTTCCCCTCTATGTTTCTAGTGAGCATTCCTGGTTCTATTTTTCCTAAAGACATCAGTTGGAACATTTTAAAACTCAAGGTTGTTTTTTTTTCTTTAAATTTTTAATGTTTATTTATTTTTGAGAGAGACAGTGTGAGCAGGGAAGGGGCAGAGAGAGAAGGAGATAATCTGAAGCAGGCTCCAGGCTCTGAGCTGTCAGCACAGAGCTGGATGCGGTGCCGGAACTCACGGACCGTGAGATCATGATCTGAGCCGAAGTCGGACGTTTAACTGACTGAGTCACCCAGATGTCCCAAAACTCAAGGGTTTTTTGACAGCAACTGTACCTGATTCTCTGGCTTGGGCTGCTCTGCTCAAAGCTATCATACTCTTAGCTCCAGTCCTTGGGACAGAGATGATCTGGGAATGGAAACCTCCATATAGTCCCTAGGAAGACAGTCTGTGAATATTTAATATCACCCTTCCAGGTACTAGATCCACATGTTGAGCAAAGACTCCAACCTGTTTAGCCTGCAGGCAGTGCTTGTAGTCTGTTTCCTCCCTGGTCCTGGACTTGAGTATCTTTATCTCCAGAGAAGGGGGCCACTGGCCTGGTGGGAGTCCTGTCCATACCAGCCAGTATTATTAGAACTGGGTAAGAGCCTTAAGAGAGACCTATTCATTTTTGTTGTGGTTATCATGGGCCTAGATACCTAATTTCCTAAGAGTATCCCAAATAGGGGGCCCTTAGGTGGCTCCCAGTGAGGCCTGACAAATCAGTTATAGTACTGAACATATCCAGGATACTTCTATATCCTGTCTCCTCCCCAGTGCGGTCAGCCTCACTCCATCTCCAGAAAACATTAGAGGATGTGGCTGCAGGCTGAGGAGGAACATCTGTGCTCTTTTAGGAACCAGTGACTTTCAAGGATGTGGCTGTGGACTTCACCCAAGAGGAGTGGGGGCAGTTGGACCCTATTCAGAGGACCCTGTACCGTGACGTGATGCTGGAGACCTATGGGCATCTGCTCTCTGTGGGTAAGGTGGTGCTGCCTGAGTAAATGAAGGTGTTTCCATGCGATACCTTCTGGTTCTCTGTGTTTAAGAGCTCACAGGCTGTAACTATTGGTAATATATGTTAATGATAATTTCACAGCGTATACAAATATTGAAACATGTACACCTGAAACTGATACAATGTTCTGTGTCAATTACATCTCAGTTTTAAAAATTAGCAACGCATAACACCACCACTGACCAATAACACTCAATAAATAAAATAAAAAATAAATAAATAAAAAAGAGCTCATGGGGGGTCTCAAAAGGGCTGAGATGATCTTGAGCCCTCCTGAGGTTCAAGAACAAAATTCCTAATACTTATAAAGCATAAAGTATGCTTATTCTGCCCAAATGATAAGTCAGGGAAGAACAGGCAAGGACATTTTCAAGGCTACACAAGTCTGTGCTTTTTCCTCCATGTGTAGGGAATCAGATTGCCAAGCCGGAGGTCATCTCTCTGTTGGAGCAAGGAGAAGAACCATGGTCAGTGGAACAAGCATATCCTCAAAGCACTTGTCCAGGTGAGGGCAGGTGGGAGCAAGGAACTTTCCTCCAAGCCCTCCTTGTTTGAGAAAGGGGCTGAGGCCATGAGGAGTTACCTTCCTCAGAGACCTTCACAATTTCCTCCAAGGAGCTGTATCCCATGTATTGACTTTTTTGTAGCTGTTGATTCAGAGCAAAGGTGGCCACCCTATTAACAAGGTAGCAGATTGTATGAGCTGCAGTTTCCCTTCCTCTCCATCCATTCTCCTGATGCCTCTCATATTCTCTGCTGCCCCTTTCTCTGAGATAATTTCTCACTCACTTACCTGCTTTTTAGTGTGTTCATTTCCTTTTGTGACAGACTCATAGCCAGGAGCCACAGACTATTTTTTTTTTTAAGGGTTTTATATAGGTAATGTATTCACATGATTCAAAAAATTCAGAGCTACATAGAATGTGTGAGCTGAAAAATCTCACTTATTTTTGCTGCTGTTATCCGCATTATTTTACCCCACCTCCCCACAGGGCACGTACACACAGGTAACCACTTTTCTTTTATTATAAATGTTTCAGCTATTTTCTTAGTGGTTTCCCTGGGGATTATAATTAATATTTTAATTTATAGTAATGTACTTTGGTTAATACCATTAATTTTGGTAGCATACAAAAACTTTCCTTCTGTGTATTTCTATCCTCACCCATTTATGCTGTTATTGTCAGAAATTACATCTATACATAGTATGTCCATCAACACAGACTTACAATTATTGCTTTGTTTTTGTCTTTTTTTAAATTTCTTTTTTATTTTTGAGAGAGAGACAGAGCGTGACTGGGGGAGGGATAGAGAGAGATGGAGACACAGAATCCAAAGCAGGCTCTAGGCCTCTGGTGTGGGGCCTGAACTCAAGAGCTGTGAGATCATGATCTGAGCTGAAGTCAGACGTTGAACCAACTGAACCACCTAGGTGCCTGTTTTTGGCTTTTAAATCAGATAGGGAAAAAAAATTACAAGCAAAATGTTTAGACAGCCTTGTCATATTTACCTATGTAGTTACATTTATTGGTGTCCTGTATTTTGAGTTACTGCCTGTGTCCTGTCATTTCACCCAAAGGACTCCATTTGTTTTAGGGCAGGTTTGCTGGCAGCAGACTCTCTCAGATGGTTTATCTTGGAGTCCTTTCCTTTCCCCCTCATTTTGGAAGGAGAGTTTTGCCACATACAGGATTCTTGGTTGGCAGTATTTTTCTTTCTTAACTCCATGGTTTCCAGACAGGTATGCCCTGTTGGTAATATGAAGATCACTTGGATGTGATGAATACCTTTTCTCTTGCTGCTTTCAGCATCCTCTATCAGGCTTTGGCTTTTGACAGTTTAATTATGATGTGTATTCTAGGTTCCCAGAAATGTTTTAGAACTTTTCAAAGCCCCTAAGAACGTCTTCTCCCTTGGCTTTTTAAAAATCGTTTTGGTTTTGCGTATTGTTTGCTTTAGCTGTTTGCCATCGTCTCAGGCGGTAATGACTTTTTTTTTTAAATTTTTTTTTTAATGTTTATTTATTTTTGAGACAGAGAGAGACAGAGCATGAATGGGGGAGGGGCAGAGAGAGAGGGAGACACAGAATCGGAAGCAGGCTCCAGGCTCTGAGCCATCAGCCCAGAGCCTGATGCGGGGCTCGAACTCACAAACTGTGAGATCGTGACCTGAGCTGAAGTCAGACGCTCAACCGACTGAGCCACCCAGGCGCCCTGGTAATGACTTTTTAATATACTGTCTGTAAATGTTTGACAAATACCTGCTTCCTAGAGGCTTCCAGCCCCTGACAACCTTTCAAGGGCCTGGAAACCACCAAATGGGTCAAATAATGACTATTCTTTGGGATTGAGGCTTTGGGGAACCCCCAGCTTCATTCTGTTCCCTCTAGTACCAGAAATATTGGCTGTTATTTTACAAGGCTGCTGCTGAGCCGGGGAGCCAGAGATGGGACTAGGGTAAGTTACAGTGCCCCAAAGCCCACTGTTCCAAAAATTCAGCTGTCTTTCTTGAATAAACTCTTCTCTGGGCTGCCAGAGGACTTTGGTTAATTTATAGAATTCTGAGGAAATTGATTCTGACAGTTTTTGGTTGCTTTTATGGAATGGTGAAATTTCAGAGGCCTTATTTTGCCATTTTTACTGACCTCTTGCCCCAGATAATCAGTTTTAATAATTTCTATTATATGTTTCCAGAGTTTCCTTACACAGCTAAAAGCATATAGAGATATGGTTATTTTCACCTTTCTAAAAGTAGATTATAATCTATTCTGTTGTGTATCTTGCTGTTTTTAATTTAATAATGTACAACAGCCTGTTCTTGAGTTGTGAAGGTGGCTATCTTCCCATCCATTCTAATGAAGTAGGCTTTTTGGAGTCTCATCAGTTGCCCCCATTCATATCTGAAACCTTCCATCAAGGGCTCTGAATTCCAGGAGCTTTAACTCTCCTACTCTTGGTGCTGGCCATTCTGAGTTACTATCCTGAACCACCGTCCTGAGGTTTGGTTCCACCACCTCCATTCTTAAACTTCTACTGTCTTGCAAATCACCTCAGCCAACTCTGTGATCCTGCTAGAACCGGGAAGCTCATCTCTTCCTTCTAAATTATGTTTCCTCCTCTTTTTGATGCATATCGCTGCTACCAGCCTCCTGTGAGTCCTCCAAGCTGGAAATTGAGAAGTCTTACCTTCCTTTTCTTCTCCAAGATGTAATGGTTCTTCTAGCTCCTGAGATTTTCTGCCTCTGAAATGTTAGTTGTGTGTCACTCAGCTTCTACCAACATCACCCTCAGGTCCCTTACCAAATTCCAGCTCAAGTTAATGAATAAATCTGTACTTATTATTAGCTACCTCAGGTGTTTTTTCTTGATCTACCTCCCTGAAATCTTCTATTATGAGCTCTCTGTCAGTAAATCTGCAGTGATTCGAGTAGCCTTTTAAATAACTCTGACTAGATTTCAAGACCATCCATTTTTTTCTGTTATTTTTCTCATTTTGTCATAGCTCGTGCTGTACAGGAGCAGTATGTCTATATTCAAGTAAAGCCTGAAGGCTGAGCTCATGTCATTTCTCTTGTGCGAAACCTTCCTAGATTGTTTCTGTTGAGTACTAATCTCTGATCTCCTTTCCTAGCCTCCCACCCGCCCAGCAACTGCATCCCCTCAGGCTCAGTGATACACTGTGTGTATTGTTGACAACTGTTTAGTATGTCCTCTCATCACATAGGTTCTAACTCCCAGGTTAGATGATACTTTGTTGTCCTGTCTCTGGTTCTGGATACTCAGACTACAAGTACCAACTATAAAGTAGGACAAGAATTGTTCATTTGCTCAGCTACCATTTCTTAAAGTTTCTACTGGAAGGATTCAAAATCTATATGAAGATTGATCATTCCCTAACTTCTAGGAGCTAAGCTTGAAATTAGTAATAAATGCCACATCTTGAGCAAAGTAGGGCCCCTGTTGTAATGGAGTTGGATAGTAAAAGGAAGGAAATGGTGTATAGTGAAGACAGAAGAAAAACCTAGAGAAAGTGGACAAGAGTCTGTGTCGAATAAGGTATCTGTGGCTTAGACCCTGCGGTAGGGTAAATAATGACACCCCCTTTCTCCCAAAGGATGTCCACATCTTAAACTTGTGAATATGGTACTTCGTATGGCAAAGGGGCTTCTCAGATGTGAATAAATTTTGAGATGGAGGGATTATCTTGTATTATCTGAATGACCATGGTAATTGCAAGGTCCTTGTAAGAGCAAGGCAGGAGTGTCTGAGACACAGAGAGGAGATGTGGTGACAGAAACAGAGGATGAAGTGTTATGCTCTGCAGATGGAGGAAGGAGCTATAAGCCAAAGAATGCAGGCAGCTTCTAAAAGCAGGAGAAGGCCACGCTGTAGATTCTGCCCTAGAGGGAGGCTCCCCTGATTGTAGCCCAGTAAAAGCCATTTTGGACTTCTGACTTCCAAAGCTGTAAAGTAATAAGATTGTGTGATTTTAAGCTGCTGCATGTGTGGTAATTTGTTACAGCGGCAGTAGGAAACTCAGACAGACCCCTTCAGTTGTTGGAGGACTGTTACCTCAGCAGTGATGGTGGATAGCTTTCATATGTTGAACTTGCCAGACATTTCACTGGATTCACAATCTCGCGAAGATATTGGAAACATCCTCTGTGGATAGTATAGAGCCAATATGTATGAATGTGTGTGTGTGTGTGTGTGTGTGTGTGTGTGTGTGTGTGTGTTTATATATACATAGATTTTTAAAAATTTTATTTGTAAGTAATCTCTACACCCAACGTGGGGTTGAATTCACAACCCCAGGATCAAGAGTTGCACGCTCTACTGACTGAGCCAGCCAGGTGCCCGGAGCCACAATTTAAATACAGATTATATCAGGCTATAACTCCTGTGTCTTCATCATAATGTGTTGCCTTTCGAGTCTGTCTTGTGTGCCATTGCTTTGTAAATCATTCTGTAGTTAGAAGGGTTGTAACTGTAGGAGTGTTCTTAAACTATGGTGATTTGTGGGTTGACGAATTTTGTCATTGACTGAATGGAATATGAAACAATGCGACAGCATATTATCATAGATAAGATCCTTGCTTGAAGTTTCTGTTGGTGATACTTTCTCTTAACGCCAGTCCCTCCTTTTTGGGGGGCAGGTGTCAAAATAGGGAAGGAGTCAGGATATTAAAACACAGAAGTGAATTAGGACGCTTGCATCATTTAAACATAAGTTAAAGGCCTGGTTGCTTGTTTATCTTGTAAGCAAGTTATTTCTTATTTTTTCACCTTAATAATATTCACTGGGTCCCTTTGTCAGGGATCCCCCAGGCCACCCTTGGGTTCAGTGATTTCACTAGGATGCACAGGACTCAAAAGTCATTGTACTTTTGTAATGATGTATGACAGTGAAAGGATACAAAGCAATGCAGAGGGAGAAGGCACATGAATATAAGTCTGGAGGAAACCAAGTGCAAGCTTTCAGTAGTCCTTTTCCAGTGGAGTTGCAGAGGACACACACGTTTAATTCCTTCAGCAGTGAGTTGTGACAACACATATGACATGTCATCTACTAGGAAAGCTAGCCAGAGCCTAGGAGTCCAGGGTGTTTATTGGAGATTTGAATACACAGTGCCTGTGTAACTGACTGCAACCACTGAAGCTCCAGACCCCCAGAAGGAAAGCAGATGTTCACCATAAATGACCATAAATGTCATTTGTACACACTATCTAGAGAGATACTACACAGTGTGCTTCAAGGCCTCAAGCATGCAAAACACTCTTAGACCATTCCAGGACCTCGATTCCTTTACCATACACCTTTATCCTGGTCTTTTTTTCTATGGGAAAATGCCCCTAAATGGTTGTTATTGGTATCCAGTATACACTTATGCTGGTTCACATACTTTTTTTTTTCACTATTCTCTCTTCCCTGTTATGATCTTTGTGTTACAAATCTATTTGAAAACAAGGTCACACCTGCCTTTTCAATAATATGGACAATAAATCTCACTTTTCCCACTCTATTCTCGGAAATTTTTTCTCTGTGCTCTCATGGCTTTTTTTTCTGATTATTTCAGAGTGGATGAGAAATCTTGAAAGCAAAGCATTGATCCCAACACAAAGCATTTTTGAGGAAGAACAATCCCATAGCATGAAGCTGGAAAGATACATATGGGATGATCCTTGGTTCTCCAGGTTAGAAGTCTTGGGATGTAAAGACCAGTTGGAAATGTATCACATGAACCAGAGTACAGCTATGAGGCAAATGGTCTTCATGCAAAAGCAAGTACTATCTCAAAGAGGTTCAGAATTCTGTGAACTTGGAGCAGAGTGTAGCCAGAGCTTAAACTTTGTTCCATCTCAGAGAGTTTCTCAAATAGAACATTTCTATAAGCCTGATACAAATGCTGAAAGCTGGCGGTGTAACTCAGCCATAATGTATGCAGATAAGATTACCTGTGGAAATCATGATTATGACAAAACTTTCTACCAGTCCATACAACCTAATCAGCCTGAAAGGATGCAAACTGGAGATAATCTTCTTAAATGTACTGATGCTGTGAAATCTTTCAATCATATACTACATTTTGGTGATCATAAGGGAATGCATACAGGAGAAAAACTCTATGAATATAAGGAATGCCATCAAATCTTTAACCAGAGCCCATCATTTAATGAACACCCACGACTTCATATTGGAGAAAACCAGTATGATTACAAAGAATATGAGAATATCTTTTATTTTTCATCATTTATGGAGCGTCAAAAAATTGGTACTGTAGAGAAAGCATATAAATACAATGAATGGGAGAAAGTCTTTGGGTATGACTCATTCCTTACTCAACATACAAGCACATACACCTCAGAGAAACCCTATGAATATAATGAATGTGGAACATCTTTCATCTGGAGCTCTTACCTTATCCAGCATAAGAAAACTCATACTGGAGAGAAACCCTATGAATGTGATAAATGTGGAAAAGTATTTAGGAATCGTTCGGCCCTTACTAAACATGAACGGACTCACACTGGAATAAAGCCCTATGAATGTAATAAATGTGGAAAAGCCTTCAGCTGGAATTCTCATCTTATTGTACATAAGAGAATTCATACAGGAGAGAAACCTTATGTATGTAATGAATGTGGGAAATCTTTCAACTGGAACTCCCATCTTATTGGACATCAGAGAACTCATACCGGAGAGAAACCCTTTGAATGTACTGAATGTGGGAAATCTTTCAGCTGGAGCTCCCATCTTATTGCTCACATGAGAATGCATACTGGAGAGAAGCCCTTTAAATGTGATGAATGTGAAAAAGCTTTCAGGGATTACTCAGCCCTTAGTAAACACGAAAGAACTCACTCTGGAGCAAAACCATATAAATGTACTGAATGTGGAAAATCCTTCAGCTGGAGCTCCCATCTTATTGCCCATCAGAGAACTCACACAGGAGAGAAACCCTATAACTGTCAGGAATGTGGCAAAGCATTCAGAGAACGCTCAGCCCTCACTAAACATGAAATAATTCATTCTGGAATCAAGCCTTATGAATGTAATAAATGTGGGAAGTCCTGCAGCCAGATGGCTCACCTTGTTAGACATCAAAGGACTCATACTGGAGAAAAGCCCTATGAGTGTAATAAATGTGGAAAATCCTTCAGTCAGAGCTGTCACCTTGTTGCTCATCGGAGAATTCACACTGGTGAGAAACCCTATAAATGTAATCAATGTGAAAGATCTTTTAACTGTAGCTCTCACCTTATTGCACACCGGAGAACTCATACTGGAGAGAAACCATATAGATGTAATGAATGTGGGAAAGCATTTAATGAGAGTTCTTCCCTTATTGTACATCTAAGAAACCATACTGGAGAAAAACCCTACAAATGTAATCATTGTGAGAAAGCTTTCTGTAAGAATTCTTCTCTCATTATTCATCAGAGAATGCATAGTGGAGAGAAACGCTTTATATGCAATGACTGTGGAAAAGCCTTTAGTGGTCACTCAGCCCTACTTCAGCATCAGAGAAATCATAGTGAAGAGAAACTGTGAATTGAATTGATAAGAGATTTTTCTTTTATTGTACATTTGGTAACACACTGAAAAAAACCCTATAAATATAATCAAGAGGGAAAATTGTTTAGTAAGAATTCAGAAAGACTTCTTTTTATATTTGGTAGAAAATATCTCCTTAGAAGAAACCTATGAATGAAAAGAATAGAACAAAGCTTTCAGCAGGTATGTAGCCTTTATTTAACGTCAGAGAATTACAGTGAAGAAACCTCAAATCCCCTCATGGTCCTACTTGATTCCTACCAGGAATCCTACTTGAGGAACATGAATATAGGGAATAAGACTTCTTTCAGTAAGAGATCTCAACTGAGGTCTGAATTTGTGGATCGCAGTGCATTGTTAAGGGGAACCTTATTCTAGGAAAAGTTTTTTAACTGAAAGTACACTGTTTTGCATCAAGCTGGAATAATGGATAGGAAGCTTTATAATAACATCTTGTGCATAATTATGGAAATACAGATTTTGCTGTTACAAAGGGAGAATGTGGGTGCCGTTTAAGGAACACAGTATGAAATACTAAATCTGAATTTAAGAAAAAAAATTAGTATTGAATGGGATATTTACTGTCGATCAAGATTAACCTTAGAAAACATTAGTAAATGATTTTACTAATGGTGGAAAGATTATTACCTAGAAGTATGAGACTGATGTTGTTAGAACAAAAGTTGACAGTTTATGACCCATTGTGTCAGTGTCCATGGTTTACTCATGATTGCATTGTTGGACAATTCACTTGTAATCTGTTTTAGGCAATCACTGTAAGTTACAATTGTGGACACTGCATTGATATACATAATGTTAAGGAATGAAAAGGACACAAAATTGTATATACGTATCTATTATAACATCTAAAAAATGTATATGGATAAGGACTGGAAGGATCCATGGAGAAATTAACCTTGTTAATTTAAGATTTTTAAAAAAGTTTTATAAACACAGCACCTATGTGCTAGGCTTTGTTTTAAATGCTTTCAAATATTAACTTGTTCAATCTCCTTAACTCTATGAGATAGGTACTATTATTATCCCAGTCTTACAAATGGAGAAACTCGTGCAGAGTGAGTGTTGAGAAACCTACCTAAGGACACACAGCTATTAAGGAATGGAACCAAGATTGTTTGGCTCTAGAGTCATGTTTTTAAATACCATGTTATGCTGCCTCTCCAGTGATTTTTTTTTCCCCTAAATTTTTCTTTTGTTCAGTTTTCTATAGTAGATAACTTGATAATAAAAACCGAGAAATTCCTAAACAGTGAGAAATAAAGTTACCTGGCTCTCTGACCTGAATGATTTCTGGTAACATGAGAGCTAAGCTGCCTTTGGAATATGAAGTCTGGATTGGACAGTCAGAATCACTGCCATTTTCTAGGACTTGGGTTCCCTAAGATTTCACCACCCACAATACTGCGCATTACAGCACAACAGTGACTGGAACACAAATCGGAGGTTTGGGCAATGCTAAGGAATGCCTCTTGATGGGGTTAGAATGGCCCTTGTGGGGCAGAGAGCAAGAGACACTACAGCACATGGGGGCATTGTTTCTCAAGGTCTCTCTCAAATTCAGTGTTTATGCTTTCTTTATCTTCTCTTGATGAGAAGATTGCTTGATAGTAGGGGCACTTCAGAAGGGAAGGAAGCTCACCAATTCATCAGAGTGAGGAAGTCTCTCTGAGTGCTCCTAGGGGAAAGGAGGCAGGATGGATAAGCAGATTTAGGTGGCTTCTCTCCTATTCACAGATATTTCCTCTATTTCCCTAAAGTAGGGCTATAATTACAGGCCAGGAATCCTTGGATAGGCTTCAAGGACATTGGTTAGAAATCCAGGATACAAAAGGTTCATCTAGTTCTTACAGGGTCCATGACTCCCCATTGGTTGAGAAACAGTGACCTACTGGTGTGGGAGGGTGTGTGTTCTGTAGCTGGAACTCACATAGGTATGTAACATCTGATTCTTTACCTTTCAGGGCTTAGTGCATAGTGGTCACCCAATAAATGTTGTAGGAGTAAATTAACTGAATGCATTTCTCATGTGATTTCTGCAAATATCTTTAGAATAGAATTAGCAATGTTATCTCTGTAAGAGAAAGTAATATGTGTCAAGTAATACTGTGAATATATGGGTAGAGTATTCTAATACCCAGTGTAATACACTTTGAGCAAACCGAGATTCTTTGATTTAGCGACTCCAAAGAATCTCATAATTCATATACAATATTACACAAGCATCCTGACAAGTCACTCTATGTTATGCAGCTTAATATCTTTTAAAAAAGTTTTTCTAAAAGTGCCTTTTGTGGCCCAGCCCATATCACAAGTCAAGAGAAAGTCCCAGACTTCTGCTTCCTCCTGGAAGGATCCCTACATCTCTATCATCTATCACACAGCCTTATATGCACAGTGTGCCTTGGATGTTCAGGACTCCCACACCCCTTCACCTCCCTTACTCCAGCCCTCTAACCTATGTATGGCTTAGTTCATTGCCCCCCCCCCCCTTTTTTTTAACCCCATGTTCAACTCCCCAACTCTGGAACCTTCTGCTGGGCCCAACTGGAACTCATTTCATCATGAGCTCTTCCTTGAAACCTTCCTGCTGTGACTGAAGCTTGAGTCTCCCCTATGCACAGTGTCTCTTATGATGGCTTCAAGGGGTGGCTCCTTTCTCCGCCCTCCACCCCCCACTTTTCTCATTTGCAGCCTCTAGATTGTTCCTCCCTTCTCTCTAAAACTCACCTCTGACTCTTGGGACATGAGACCATCACACTTGCTTCCCTTCATTCCAGTCATCTATTATGAGTCACTCATCCACATATCAAAGAATTCGGCACCTGCCTTACTGCATCTAGAACCATTCCATCATCCATCTGGATGATCTTTCCGTGTCCTGTGAGGTCAACAGGACCCCTCTGCTTATGGTTTTGTCAACCACTTGCCACAGTCAGTCACTCCCATGGTCATCCCTAGGACCATTCCATTACTAGTGACTGGAACCCCTCCACCATCTGTTTCCTAAGCTGCTTGGCTATTTAGTATCAAAATTCCAACAATTCCTTGACTTAACCTTCCCTCAGGCTCACTGCCAGCAGATGACTTTTTTTCCCACTTACCTGAGAACAGAAGGAATCAGTAGAAGCCTTCCATAACATCTACCCATTGTCCACAGTGTGCTGTCCCACAGGGACCTACATACAAACTGGCTGGGTTGACTCCAGAGCCTATCTCGAGGGCATTGCTCTAGCAAGTTTGCCTTATCTCCTGTATCATCACGTTTTGCCTATGTACTAGATTATTCCCACCAATATGTAAACATACTTAAAAAAAAAAAAAACTCTCGATAACACATTCCCTTCTAGCTCCTGCATAATTTCTCTGCTTCATTATAGAAAGCAAAATTTTTCAAGAGTTGTCTGTTTTGCTGTCTCCACTTCCTTTCCATTCTTGAAACCTCTCCAAACCTACCTCACTGCCAGATGTCCTCCACATTGCTAAACCTAGTAGTCAATTCCGTTTTTTACTTCCTTGAAATACCAGCAGCATTATAGATCATGGATCATTACCTCCTTGAAGCATGTTTTTCACATGGCTTTCAGGACTTCACACCTGATTCTGGCCTTCATTTCAGGCCCTCTTAGCTGTTTCCTCCCCCACTTCCCTTACCTCTTACTGTCAGGGTGCCCCATTTCCTGTTTGCATCCCTGAAGTTCTCATCCAGTCTTGAGGCTTCAAACACCACTGTTATGCTGAGGACTTTCCTTTTAGGGCTACAGTTTGATGAGTGTTGAAAAATGTCTACACCCTTGTTACTATCACTACAATCAAAACTATATTTTCCCTTTCCCAAAAAGTTCCTTTATGTCTCTAGTTAATCCCCATCACACCCCACTGCCCCAACCTCTGGGCAACACCTATCTGCTCTGCCACTACATACTAAGATTGTCTTTTAGAGTTTCATATAAATAGAATCACACGGTATTTTATTCATACACTACTTTTACTATGTGGACACTTTTGGGATCAGGTCTTTTCTCCACATAATGTTTTTTTGTCTGTTTTTGAGGTTCATCCATTTTGTAGCTCATATCAGTAGTTTACTCTTTTTTTTTTTTTTTTTTTT